AAATATAAAGTGGCTGATTCCTGTAAAGGGAAAGGCAGCAAACACAGACAAAACAACCGTTGCAATGAAGAGGTGGGAGCAACACCAGAAAAAAACAAGTTCAAGGTAATTTTAGAGAAGTGAAAGTAAAAGTGTTGGAGAGAGCAGCAGCAGAGCTGCAGTTGAGTCTGTTTGTCTGTTAAATCTCCCAATTCTTTTGATCTTTGGGCTGAAGGAAGGACAATACTCGGTGTATAAATGCTCAATCAACAATCTTTTATTCCATACAATTCAACACTTTTGAGCATAAACCATCCGGAGGGGAGATGAGCGCGGGAGGGTGTCCGCCTGAGCGTCTGAGCAAATAAGGCGATGACTCAGTGTGTCTTATACCTCAGCAGTATAATGCATCATAAAACAATATCATTCATTCACAATAAATCAGCAGTCTAATGTAATACAAATCAGTTTAATAACTGTAATAGTTATCACCTCTTCTAAGTCAGGAGAATAATGCAAACTAAAACTACATAATGATTTCACAATCTTTAATTAGGGGTATAACGTGGCATAAGATAATATAACAATCTCACAGTCTCTAAAAGAAGACTCACCGGAGTCCATCAGGTTTCTCTCAACAACAGTGGCGAGTGCAATTTCCTTTTTCTACACAAATCTTCAGTTCATTTCATGCTGACTCAGCACAATAACATTGGTTCCATAGAAATCTGCTCATGTAGCCACAGATCAACTGTAGAAACATCGAGCTGCTGTTTGAAACAGACTCACTGTGGTAGTGTTCAGGTCTGTGGACTCAATCTGTGTGCTTTAGACTTCAGGCTGATTCCACATTTCCTGTTCTAATTACGCTTTCTTCATCACTTTCTGCTCTTATTATTTTATTTATCACTTCATGCTCTTATTACTGTTTATTCATCACTTTTTGCTCTTATTAATTTAATCATCACTTTCTGATTTTATTTGTGTTTATTCATCACTTCCTGTTCTTATTACCATTAATTCATCACTTCCTGCTTTGAATACTGTTTAATCTTCACTCCCTGATCATATTTCTACTGCTCCTTGTGGCTTTTCAGCTTGTAGCTAACTGGTGACTGCTGCCGCGGTGTAGATTAGCTGGTCAGTCAGGGTAAAGGTCACGTAGTGCTGCATTCACATCTTCTAGTACAGCGGTCAACAACCTTTTTTGCACCACGGACAAGTTCATGTTCGACAATATTTTCATTGACCGGCATTTAAGGTATCACAGATAAATACAACAAAAAAAAAAAAACAGTACCAGTACCAAAAAAAAGAAGATTTATTCATAGCACATGGGAAAAGACCGATGGAAAACGAGTTGATGATACAAATGATAAAAAAATAACGATAAAAGGTCCATTGATCTAGTAGATCTTTTGAGGGTACTGTACATAGTCTTGGTAACCAGCTACGGAGGATCCAGGTTTCATAGCATGCACTTTCACTGTTATGCAGATGACACTAAGCCTTATCTATCCATGAAGGCAGATAGCACACACCAATTAGTTAAACTGCAGGAATGTCTTAAAAACACACAGACCTGAATTATTGTACCTGATGTTATTGTACTCGGCCCTAAAAATTTTAGAAATATGGTATCTAAACAGCATGACCCTGGCCTTCAGTAAGAATGTGATCAATTTTGAAGTCAGTTTTGACCAGGACATGTCCTTAAATGCACATATGGCACACTTAAACAAGTGCCATAGTGGGGTATACTGGTGGGTTTGTGAAAAGGACCCAAAAGCACACACTAGATAGATGAACAGAGGTTTTAACTAACAGCGAGCCATTTATTATGGCTGGTAGACATCAACATAAAACTTGAGCAAAGGCAAAACACAAGCGACAACTAAACTAAAACCTAAACTGGCAAAACTAAAAAAAAATATGAATCAACCATGACATCCGTGATAACTATGACTACTAAGGTTACTATGACAAGACATGGAGGGAAAATAGCTGACCTGAAACTGAACAAAGGAAGACAGATGACTTAAATACACACAGGAGGGATCAAGGGAAGTTGAAACACATGGGAAAACAGCTTACTTTGTTTTGATTTGGCATTGTATAGATACAAAAAGTTTCAATAAAATTTAATTTAACCACTCAGCTTTAGTTTGAACTACAGCTGTAGTCCATGAGTCCAACTTTTCTCTTGAAGAATTTCACACAGGTTTCATGTTAGTTATTTATATTTTTACTGTCACATTACTTTTCAAAAAATGCAAAAGTTAATTCACTTTTACTTTTGTTTATTTCAGTTATCAGTATTGTCCAGCCCCTAATTGAGGATCAATCTTTGTTTGACTTGCATTTCAATGTTATGGAGCACTGGAGACTTTTTTTTTTTCATATTACGATTAGTACTTAACAATTTATGTACACACACAAGAAACAAAAGGATGGAAAACCACAAAGCAAAATTCACTGTAAAGCAAACCATTGTATATGTGTCACTATTTCCAAAGGCCCCTGATTCTGCCAGTCTGAAAAACAACCCTAAACTACAACTGAGTAATTGCTGTTTCCAAAAGTCTGCATTTTCAGAATTGTCCAGATGATTGGTTTAAACATAGTAATTGTCACATGTTAAATGAAAATTTGCAGTAAAATATGTTAGTGTGTATGTGCCGAAAGTTTACTTTCTACAGTTTTATTTTGCTGCAGGTCAACCTAATTTTTCCTTGGTTTCCTTTTTTTTTCTCTGTGTACAGGATGATGAGCAGTTCATTGGTTCTTTTTGTTAAAATGTGAAAAGAAAAAGTGTGACACAAGCAGAACAACAAAAGAAGATTACTGGAGGAAGGATAATTTGTGTGGTCTCTTCTCTGCTGAAGACTGTAAAAACACTGAATGCTTGCTGCTAGTCCTTAAACTGAGCCAACAACACAGGTAAAAATCATTTCAAGTGTAAGCCATTAAAGTTTTCAAGACTTTAGGTAAAAAGGTGGTTTCAGCAAAACTAATTTATCTTGTTGCCTTTACCAAGACACTGTAGGTGTTGTACTGCTGTAAAATATAGCTTAGTGAAATTATAGTAAATGTAGTTGTTATTAATGATAAAATTAATCCAATGCAGAAACATTTCAATTAGTATCTTGTAGCTGACTGAACTGTTTGTTTTTGTTGTTTTTTTTATCTACAGGCAATCGTTGCAGAATAAAGCTCTTTTTACAAGTTATCATGACAATGTGAGTAATATGAGATTAATTAAATCAAATCAAGTCAATTTATTTATATAGCACCTTTCACTGGATAAAATCCACAAAGTGCTTCACAGTAATATAAAAACAGAAATACATAAAATACATCAATAATCAAACATACAGCACAAATCTAATTAAAAGCCAATCTAAATAAATGAGTCTTAAGCTGCTTTTTAAAAGAATAAATACAATCAAGGCAACGTACTGATGGAGGGAGAGCATTGCACAACCTAGGGGCCACCGCTCTAAAAGATCTATCTCCTCTGGTTTGTGGGACTACCAACAGCCTTTGATTAGATGATCTCAGGCTGTGAAAGGGAGCGTGGGGTTCTAAAAGTTCAGAAATGGAGGCAGGGGCATCACAATTCAAAGCTTTAAAAGTCAGTACTGAGATTTTAAAACTGCCTAATTATAAGTCCTAGAGTAACATGTACAAAAGAAAAAGAACAGGACCCAGAACTGAACCCTGCAGTACCCCACATGTCAGATCCTTAGAATGTGACATAAACTGATTTGCAAAAACACTAAAACATCTGTTGGAGACGTATGACTGAAGCCACTTCAAAGCCAGACCGGACACACCGACTACGTCCCGGAGCCTGTTAACTACTAATCAAAGTGCATGGGCACTTTGTTTAGCAGCAAACAATCCATTTTCTACCACTTGTTTGGGCAGTAATGTAAGCAGAGATGCACAGACAACTGTATGTACACAAACAAAAAACAAAAGTATGGAAACTTTTGCTGTTTCCAAAAGTCTCAATTTAAAGAGTAGTCCTGACGATTGGTCTAAACGTAGCAATTATTATATTTTAAATAAAATTTTGCACTAAAACATATTAGTATGTATGTTTTAGTGTCTTCCAGGGCGACACCAGTTAGACATGCCCTATCTTACTCACCTAGGAGTGCCCAGCAAGCATCCTGGTCAAATGCAATGGCTCAAATATGAAACCCACTCCTATTTTTAAACAAATACTTAATTTTTCTTCTGTAATTTTAACACTGAACGCCACCCAGTGCATTTTAAGTATTGTCAATATTTGATTGATGTTCAGACTTTCAGCTGTCACTCAAGGGGTTTAACAAAAGGCCTATTCCTTTGTTATTTCATAACATTCTGCAGATAAAAGATCTAGAGTTGATTGCAAGCATTAAACTTGCATTTGCTATCTCTTTCCACTGGAACTCACAACATGAAAAAAATCGTTGAAATTCCTGAACAGTTAATGCAATTATTTGATACTTACGCAATGATACAGGTAAGAATGTCGAGAAAGCTGATCTGTACTTCTAGAGCTGTTCATCTAGAGGTTACTTTTTCAGTAGGAATTATGTTTTGTCTCTCATCCAAATGACTTCTACAGGACTCTTGGATGAGTTCTCATGACTAATGGTTATTGGCCATTAGTACAGAGCACGGACTCAAGACAAATGTACTTTTGATAAGATTGATGAAATGTTTCTCCCACTCAAAACACTACATCCAGAAGCAAGCTGGGTGTCTGCACTTCAATTATACAGGGAGTGCAGAATTATTAGGCAAATGAGTATTTT